GGGTGCACTCATGTCGATACCCCTTATCCTACAGACCGTGGCTACAGACCGTGGCTCCTGGCCTTAATTTATTCTAACCTCAGGGAGGGACATTTAAAGCCCATATAATGTACAAAGCCACTAAACCACCCTTTTCACTTTCAATCTGTAAAAATGTTTCTTTTTATGATAAAGGACACTTGTGTGTCTTAAACTAATAAAAAAAAATTAAAAAAAACTCCACATGGACTCTGTCTTGACGTGGGGCTTAAGTGTGCATGTCCAGGCACAGACCGGAGGAGTCAAATAGTGACAAGATGCAGAACGGCACCAAACAAACTAAGAAACGAAAGAGCGCCCTGATTCCTGACAAAACTTCTGTGAAGAAGTCCAAGTCGGCCTCCAGTGCAGAGGAGTAGGAGAACTCCCATACTAAACTCCTCTAGCTTGGGCCATGAACAAACAACCTAGCAAGGAGAGTCTCAAGGACAAGGTGAAGGGGATATTTGGGCTGGGACCCCCGAGGCCGCCGAGCAAACAGAATGAAACCAAACCGTCCGAGTTAATCATTAAACTAAACAAAAAAAAAAAAAATAACAACAGCCCAACCCCCCCTACGGTTTGTGTATGTTCTGTAGCTGTTTAGTAAGGTAGATTGTTAGGTTATGATTGTTCATTGTTCAATAGTAGTAGTTTAATAGATTGTTCAGATAGGTAGATTGTTAGTTAGTTAGTTAGGTTGTTCATCTTTCATTGTTCAATAGTAGTAGTTTAGTAGATTGTTCAATTAGGTAGATTGTTAGGTTAGTTAGATAATTAGTTAATTTGTTTGATCAAGCAGGCAGTGTAAGACCCGATGTGGCATCCTGATTTTTTATTTAAATTTTTCTTTCATCATACGCAGTGTAAGTCCTGATCATGGCATCTTGTAAGACGTGACTTTTCTTTTGTCTTTTTGTATTTCTGTTCCCATTTAATCCTCCACATGGACTCTGCCTTGACGTGGCGTGGGGGCTAGCGTGCCTCAGTGATCCCAGGGACTCTGCAGATTGAATCTACACAACAGAGCTATTCCTGTCCCTAGGACCACTGAGGACAGACCAAAGAGTCCACAACTCACGTGATACCTGACCTTGTTAGACCTGCTCTATTTGAATTGAATTGAATTGAATTGACCCGTCCAATTTTAATGTGTTGGCCCAGGACCAAAAGTTCATCTTGATGGTCTTGGACAAGGCCATAGCGAAGGCAACACTGGACCTTAATTATGATTCTACATTCTCTGTGGTCCTGTCATTGACAATGTTTGGCCAAAAAAGCCCTGAGCAAGCAATCTGACATTAGGAAGCAGGTCGTCCGCTTCTTGCCTGCCTCCAGATCCATTCCTTGGTCTCCTCTCATTTATAGGGCTAGACAAGGACCAGACCCATAGAGATGCCTACAAGGAATACATTAAAGCCTGTGAAGCAGAGTTAGTGCCTGTGAGGCCATTCGAGGGCTTTACTAAGAAAAGAAGTTAATGTGTTGTTAGTGGGAGTTACTGTTACTGCTCGTGTGTGTTCTGCGTAAACAAAAAATAAAAAGAATACGAAAAAATCCCACAAAAACAAAGGAGTGAGTGTGATACAGTGTGTGTGTGTGTGTGTGTGTGTGCGCATTAGAATTAGATTAGTAGTAGTTTAGTTAGGTAGATTGTAATGTTACAATTGTAGAACTTTAGTAGTAGATTGTTCAGTTAGGTAGATTTTTAGATAAGTGACTTATTTAGGTTGTTCATTGTTCATTGTTCATAGCAAAAAATAAATAAAAACCCAAAAAGAAAGTAGTGTGTGTTACTAGAATTAGATTAGTAGTAGTTTAGTTAGGTAGATCGTAATGTTATTGAATTATTCATTGTTCAATAGTAGTAATTTAGTAGATTGTTAGATAAGTGACTTAGGTTGTTCAGTTTTCATAGCAAAAAGAAAAAAAAAAAACCTCCACATGGACTCTGCCTTGACGTGGCATGGAGGCTTGCGTGCCTCTGTGGTCCTGGGAACTGTCTGGGTTGGCCCCACTCAGCAGAGTTTACTCCTGCCTTACCACATAGGAGTAAACTCTGCTGAATGGAGCCAACCCAGACAGTCCCTAGGATCACAGAAGCCAGACCAAAGAGTTCACAACTCACCTGATACCTGAGCATGTTCAGTTATACTTACCATACCCACTCCCACACGGCACATGCTTTGAGGAGTAACTGACAAAAAGACGTGTTGTTATAAACACTAATAACATTTTCAACACTATACCCCCTCCCCCCCTCCTCGTCACTACACATTTTCACAATACTAGTTACTACACATCCCACCAGACTAGATTAGGGCCTCAAAATGTGTCTGTAGTGAACCACTGCACTGACCAACAAGGACACTAAAAAAAGGTTGTATGAGTAGTCTAACTGGCATGACCTATCGTTAATTGTTACGAACCTTTTTTTGCGGATTGGTTTTCTCTCCTGTGGTCCCCTTCCTGGGAAGTTTGAAACTGTTGGTCTGGCCTCAGGATCACTGAGGTCAGACCAAAGCGTGCACATCTCACCTGATACCTGAGCATGTTCAGTCGGTGCGTGTATGCGGATGTCCAGGCATAAAGCGCAAAATTGAGGAGGCAAACAGTGACCAGATGCAGAACGGCACCAAACAAACAAAAAAACTAAAGAGCGCCCTGACTTCTGTGAAGAAGTACAAGTCGGCCTCCGGTGCAGAGGAGGAGGACAAGGAGGTGTTTGTCCTCCATGATTCAATGCCACATGGAGGGCATTCCAGTGCGAGCTTGCACTGAAGGAGGTGTTTTATGGTCGTCCTCTGTCACCGCTGGACTACAAGCTGAGCGTGTCGCTTGGAACGAGTTCAGTCAGTGACAAGAGCGTGACAAAACAGAGAGGATTTTTTCCTTTGATGCAGCAGGCAGTGTAAGACCCAATGTGGTATCCTGTTTTTTGCTTTGGTTTCCCTTTGATCCAGCAGGCAGTGTAAGACCTGATGTGGCACTCTGAATTTTATTTTCCATTTCCTTTCATCATACGCAGTGTAAGTCCTGCTCATGGCGTCTTGTAAGACATGACTTTTCTTTTGTCTTTTTGTATTTCTGTTCCCATTTTATCCTCCACATGGACTCTGCCTTGTCGTGGCGTGGAGGCTTGCGTGCCTCTGTGGTCCTGGGAACTGTCTGGGTTGGCCCCATTCAGCAGACTTTACTCCTGTCTTACCACACAGGAGTAAACTCTGCTGAATGGAGCCAACCCAGACAGTCCCTAGGATCACTGAGGCCAGACCAAAGAGTCCAATACTCACCAATTGAGACCGGCACCAATCATTATAATTTAAAATTAAAACTAAAAAAACGAAAGAGCGCCCCGATTCCTGACAGGACTTCTGTGAAGAAGTCCAAGTTGGCCCCCAGTGCAGAGTAGGAGGACAAGAAGGTGTTTGTTCTCCACTTTCACGGTCACACACAGACACTTTCTGAAAAGTCCCATACTACCTTCCTCCAGGTTGGGCCATAAATAAACAGCCCAGCAAGGAGAGTCTCAAGGACAAGGTGAATGGGATCTTTGGGCTAGTAAGGTAGATTGTTATGTTATGATTGTTCATTTTTCAATAGTAGTAGTTTAATAGATTGTTCAGTTAGGTTAGTTAGTTATTTAGGTAGTTAGTTAGGTTGTTCATTGTTCATTGTTTAATAGTAGTAGTTTAGTAGATTCAATTAGGTAGATTGTTAGGTTAGTTAGATAATTAGTTAGTTTGATCAAGCAGGCAGTGTAAGACCCGATGTGGCATCCTGAATTTTTATTTCCATTTTTCTTTAATCATACGCAGTGTAAGTCCTGATCATGGCATCTTGTAAGACGTGACTTTTCTTTTGTCTTTTTGTATTTCTGTTCCCATTTAATCCTCCACATGGACTCTGACTTGTCGTGGCGTAGAGGCTTGCGTGCCTCAGTGATCCCAGGGACTCTGCAGATTGAATCTACACAGCAGAGCTATTCCTGCCTTACCAAACAGGAGTAGCTCAGCTAGGTAGAACCAATCTGCAGAATCCCTAGGACCACTGAGGACAGACCAAAGAGTCCACAACTCACCTGATACCTGACCTTGTCCAGTTATACTTACCTTATACACTCCCACACTTGGCGAGGGAACCAAAAAAGTCAAAATACAAACTTGCCCAAATCGACTCAAAATGTGCTCCTACACACCTTCTGAAAAAAAGGTCAAGAGGTCACGGTGTAAACGATGGCAGGGCCTCGTCGAGAAATGTTTCTGGGCCCTGCTCGGCCATGTGAAGGGCTAGACACCTGGCTACGGCCTGCACCACATATGGCGGTGCTCCAGATCTGAGCGCCACATACGGCGGTGCTCCAGATCTGAGCGCCACGGCTGCAGCCGACGTGTCTCAGGATGAAATTCTTCATTTGATAGTTTACCTTCCCACAAAATGTACTATATATTCCCATTTGACCTTTGACCTCGCCTCATCTTAAACGCTCTGCCTGTCTGTGTCTCCCTGTGACTGACTGCCTGTGTCTCCCTGTGACTGCCTGCCTGCCTGTCTGCCTGTCTTTTGCCTGACCCTAACAATTCAATTCAATTCAATTCAATTTTATTTGTATAGCGCCAATTCATAACAGAAGTTATCTCAGGACACTTTTCAAATAGAGCAGGTCTAGACCAAACTCTTTAACATTAATTACAGAGACCCAACAGTACCACCATGAGCAAGCACTTGGCAACAAGGGCAAGGAAAAACTGCCTGTTAAAAGGCAGAAACCTAGGACAGATCCTCCGGCTCTAGGTGGGTGGTCGTCTGTCTCGACCAGTTGGGGTGAGAGAGAGAGAGGCAGAGAGAGAGAGAGCGAGAGAGAGAGGCAGAGAGAGAAAGAGCGAGAGACAGACAGACAGACAGGTGCACAGCAACAACAGTATTGGCAATGGCAGTCAAGCAGGACCATGGCAGGAGGCTCCACCAGGATCCATGAGAACCTGCGAGACGAGAAAGCACAAGAACTCCGGGGAAGAAGTGGAGTTAGTAACATGCATTAATGGGACATAAATGAGTGCATAAAGAGAGAGGAAGGGAGGAGCTCAGTGCACCATGGGAAATCCCCCGATAGTCTAGGCCTATAGCAACATAACTAAGGGATGGTTCAGGACTCACCTGATCCAGCCCTAACTATAAGCTTTATCAAAGAGGAATGTCTTAAGCCTACTCTTGAATGTGGTTAGGGTGTCTGCCTCCCGAACCACAACTGGAAGCTGGTTCCACAGGAGAGGAGCTTGGTAACTGAAGGCTCTGGCTCCTGTTCTACTTTTAGAGACTATAGGAACCACAAGTAGCCCAGCATTCAGAGAACGTAGTGTTCTAGTGGGGTAATAGGGTACTATGAGCTCTTTAAGATATGATGGGGCCTGATCATGAAGAGCTTTATAGGTAAGGAGGAGGATTTTAAATTCAATTCTACATTTTACAGGGAGCCAATGCAGAGAAGCTAGTACAGGAGAGATGTGATCTCTTTTTCTAGTTCCTGTCAGTACTCGTGCTGCAGCGTTCTGAATTAATTGGAGCGTTTTAATGGACTTATTGGGGCAACCTGATAATAAAGAGTTGCAGTAATCCAGCCTTGAAGTAACAAATGCTTCAAGGCTGGGTTCCTCCTGTTAATGTGGTGAGGGTAGACACCCTCACCACATTAGTCCACTAGTCCCCTTGCTCTAACCGTAACCCCTGACCTTTGAGCCCCAGTTTCATTCCTTCTCAATTAATAATTGGAGAAAAACTCACACATGTACGTATGTATAGATATAAATATCACAAATTCAACACGTATCAAATAGACTTTTAATCAGGAATCCCATTTGTAACATCAATTGAGTGAAAAACAAAGCTAAAACAATATACACAGTGGAAACATAGTTGGCACCGGGCAATGAAATTCTTCATTTGCTAGTCTCCCTTCACACAAAATATACTTGGAAAGAAACAGAGATATAAGTTCCCAATTGACCTTTGACCTTGCCTCATCTTAAACGCTCTGCCTGTCTGTGTCTCCCTGTGACTGCCTGCCTGCCTGTCTTTTTTTCCACCCCCTCTGTAGCCACTGATGGGAACTGCACCCGCCACACTTTGGATTTCTCTGTGTAAAGCCGCTACGACTGAAGCGCATGTGATTCCCGCCCGTCTGTTCTGCCATTCTCTGGCTTTGTCCGTAAGACAAGACATCTGCTGACACAGTGACTACGTGTCCATTAACACGTTGTTAGTGTGAGTTAGTCTTACTGCTCGTGTGTGCGTGTGTGTGCGTGTGTGTGCGTGTGTGTGTTTGGCAGAAACCAAAGGTCGAGAGGTCACGGCGTAAACGATGGCAGGGCCTCGTCGAGTGACGTTTCTGGGCCCTGCTCGGCCGTACGAAGGGCTAGACACCTGCGACCGCTTCTGACTGAAAACTGACATCCCCCCAATAGTGGGGCTCAATTTTTGTGGCTCTGGCACCACAGGAAGTGCCTCAAATTTGGCTGTGAAAAGCCGCTACCCGCTGCACCATTTGTGCTGCGGCTACGGCTGGAAGCACATGTGCTGCCCGACTCCACTTCTCCCGGGGTGGAGAGGCGCACGGACTCGGGCTTGGTGCCGTCGGAAAGACGCTAGGCGGCTTTGGTGGGGTATGTCTGCCTCCCATATCTCTGGCACCTTCCCGTCAAAAGGTATTCACCGGAAACGTCCTGCACCGGGGTGCACTCATGTCGATACCCCTTATCCTACAGACCGTGGCTACAGGCCGTGGCTCCTGGCCTTAATTTATTCTAACCTCAGGGAGGGACATTTAAAGCCCATATAATGTACAAAGCCACTAAGCCACCCTTTTCACTTTCAATCTGTAAAAAATTTTCCTTTTATGATAAAGGACACTTGTGTGTCTTAAACTAATAAAAAAAAATTTAAAAAAAACTCCACATGGACTTAAGTGTGCATGTCCAGGCACAGACCGCAAAACTGAGGAGTCAAATAGTGACAAGATGCAGAACGGCACCAAACAAACTAAAAAACGAAAGAGCGCCCTGATCCCTGACACAACTTCTGTGAAGAAGTCCAAGTCGGCCTCCAGTGCAGAGGAGGAGGACAACTCCCATACTACCCTCCTCCAGGTTGGGCCATAAACAAAAATCAAGCAAGGAGAGTCTCAAGGACAAGGTGAAGGGGATTTTTGGACCGGGACCCCCGAGGCCACCGAGCACACCAAATGAAACGAAAACTTCCACGTTCATGGTCGCAAGAATTACGAAATGTTGAAAAAAAATCAATCATGGTCTGAAGTTGCTGAACAAAGAAAGCAAATCCAAGACCAAGGTGTCGGTGAAGCAGGAGTTCGCTCTGCCTTCAAGCGGAAAGAAACTCCTGCGGAAAGAAAATCCTGCAAAGAGGAGAGAGCAGTGACAGCGACTGAGAGGCTTGTTGCTGTCCCTCCTCCAGCTTGGGCCATGAACAAACAACCTAGCAAGGAGAGTCTCAAGGACAAGGTGAAGGGGATCTTTGGGCTGGGACCCCCAAGGCCACCGAGCAAACAGAATGAAACCAAACCGTCCGAGTTTATCCCCCCCTCCCACCCCGCCCCCCCACCCCATGGCCTCTGTCTCTCAGGTCTGTGTTATTAATGCTGATCCCACTCACTTGAGTCCCTTCCCTCTTGAGCGGGGTCCCTTCATGTCTGGGACACCAAAGCAAGTTATTGTTACTGTTTGTGTATGTTCTGTAGCTGTTTAGTAAGGTAGATTGTTAGGTTATGATTGTTCATTGTTCAATAGTAGTAGTTTAATAGATTGTTCAGATAGGTAGATTGTTAAAGATTGTTAGTTAGTTAGGTTGTTCATCTTTCATTGTTCAATAGTAGTAGTTTAGTAGATTGTTCAATTAGGTAGATTGTTAGGTTAGTTAGATAATTAGTTAATTTGTTTGATCAAGCAGGCAGTGTAAGACCCGATGTGGCATCCTGATTTTTTATTTACATTTTTCTTTAATCATGGCATCTTGTAAGACATGACTTTTCTTTTGTCTTTTTGTATTTCTGTTCCCATTTAATCCTCCACATGGACTCTGCCTTGACGTGGCGTGGGGGGCTTGTGTGCCTCAGTGATCCCAGGGACTCTGCAGATTGATTTTACACAGCAGAGCTATTCCTGTCCCTAGGACCCCTGAGGACAGACCAAAGAGTCCACAACTCACCCGATACCTGACTTTGTTCAGTTATACTTACCTTATACACTCCCCCACTTGGCGTGAGAACCAAAAAAAAAAAAATACAAACCTGTTCCAATCCACTCAAAATGGCCTGAAATGTGCTCCTACACACTTTCTGAAAAGTCCTCACTTGGTTTTCAACATAGCATCCACCCCATTCACAATGAATGGGCGCACGTTCGGTCCAATAACTCCCGAACCGGGCTACCCCACCCAATTCGACCATGGTGAACACGCAGGACTTGACCCTGTGTCTCTACGACCTACGGTTGCTGAGATACAGCAACGTTTCAAAGTTCAAAGTTCAAAATGGCCGTAACTCTTAAACGCAAGGTCCTACCCACTTGGGACCAACATTTATGGAAAAAGCGCCGCCGAAAATGGTGGGGTAGGTCAAGGTCCCAGATTTAACATATTAACCATTCCATGGCAATAGTGACTAGTTTATTTGTTATTATATATTTGTAAATAGTTACCACAGTATTTAATATAATTACAACTTAACTTAACAGAAAAAGGAAAATACTCACGTATAAGTTAATTAAAACACTGGGTTTCTCCTCAGATGGATTTTGGACACACTAGCGACTTTCTTGAGCTCGGTACCGCCAACACTCATGCCATTATTGGCCCCTTTAAGGAACACTTTGAGTTCAAAGACTTCCTTCATGACCCAGAAGTCAAAGTGCCAGTCTTTAGCAGTTGCTATGACTGGGGCAAGGGACTTTTGAAGACCAGGGATATGACATCGACAGTCTCTTTATTGAGCTCGAGAGCTTGGAGTCCATAACGGACCGAATTTCATACATCAGACTGCTACATGTGAACCATGTCTCAATAAAGAAACATTTTCACATGCTCAAAAAACATGTGGCAATAGCTGGATCCAGCCAAGCCCAACGCCTTCAGTGGAACAATACATTCAGCCACTGTATTGCACAGACCTCTCTGTGGTACCACGGTACCACCAATCACGTACCAACATTGCAGGCATGGAGTTCACAGACCGCAACCAAGCTGTGGACTTCATAAACAAGGTCAGGGCTAGTTTTACAGTGGAGCTAAGGGATCTAAACCTGAAAGATGGGAGCAGGGACTCAGTCCAAAAGAACAGCTTGTCTAACCCATCCAATTTTAATGTGTTGGCCCAGGACCAAAAGTTCATCTTGGACAAGGCCATAGCGAAGGCAACACTGGACCTTAATTATGATTCTACATTCTCTGTGGTCCTGTAATTGACAATGTTTGGCCGAAAAAGCCCTGAGCAAGCAATCTGACATTAGGAAGCAGGTCGTCCGTCTCTTGCCTGTCTCCAAATCCATTCCTGGGTCTCCCAAGGAGCTCTCATTTATAAGGCTAGACAAGGACCAGACCCATAGAGATGCCTACAAGGAATACATTAAAGCCTGTGAAGCAGAGTTAGTGCCTGTGAGGCCATTCGAGGGCTTTACTAAGAAAAGAAGAAATCTGCTGAGACAGTGAGTTCCTGTCTGTTAATGTGTTGTTAGTGGGAGTTACTGTTACTGCTCGTGTGTGTTCTGCGTAAACAAAAAATAAAAAGAATACGAAAAAATCCCACAAAAACAAAGGAGTGAGTGTGATACAGTGTGTGTGTGTGCATAAGAATTAGATTAGTAGTAGTTTAGTTAGGTAGATTGTAATGTTACAATTGTAGAACTTTAGTAGTAAATTGTTCAGTTAGGTAGATTTTTAGATAAGTGACTTATTTAGGTTGTTCATTGTTCATTGTTCATAGCAAAAAATAAATAAAAACCCAAAAAGAAAGTAGTGTGTGTTACTAGAATTCGATTAGTAGTAGTTTAGTTAGGTAGATCGGCAGAGAAAGT